ACTGATCATATATACCAGAAGAGTAGTACTCATAAGATGAATCATATATATTGGAGAAAATCTGACACATTGGAAAACCTTTTCTTTCTTATAATACTGAAAACATCTTTAAAGGAAACTTTTGAAAACACAAAATCATAATATTATGGTGAACTTTTATTTAAAATGGATACCAACCATCAATAAATCAGGAATAGTAAAAGGGCACTTTGAGACCACGTTTGCAGAAATTTAATCCTGATTTTCAGTTAATCATGTTAGTGCAGTAAAAGTCGTATAGCTATAAACCAAGTATATTTAAAAAAACCGCCCAAAAAATGTAAAGCCACAAATATCGCACAAACGAGAAAAATATACTTCTTTTATGAAGGTAGGCAATTGAAATACAGCCTGTTCTGAGAGAACTTTGAAAAAAAAAGTTCTATAGTTTCATTGGTTTCATTAAAACTACTCTTGTATAATTGAGTAGTTTATAATTAATTTTATGAAATAATATAGTGCTTTTGCCCTCCGACCATGCTACTAATTTAAAATTAAAGTCATTCTTGTCTTAACTGTCAAAATTCTGTAAAGTTTCAATAAATTTCTATTGACAAGTAATTTACTCTTATTTTTGTCTGATTTTCTCTAAATTCCTTTCAGTTTCATCCATTTTCCGCACAACCCGGCCAAAAAACGTAGTTCCAAAGCACATGTTGCCTTTGGTCCAACTGCAGACATTCTTCTTCATATTCAGCCAAATCAAATGCTGAAAAATATGTTTCGGCAATTTGTCGTTGCCTGCATAAATCCAACACGAATTCTAATGAAATCGTATTCGTGCAAAACACCGAAGTTATGTCCTAAAATCCGAACTAAACGTGGCTGGGAGACAAAGAGTAAACCATTTAAAATTAAATTACTTTCTGAAATAGAACAGGAAAAAGAAGACGCCGAAACTAGTGTTAAAATAGATTTGAAACGATTCAAATCATTTTGGGATATTACTCCTGAGTGTTGCTACAAGAAATGCCCAAGATCTGCACGTTACGATGAGTCTTACTACATGCCGTCAAATCCATATAAACGTTATTATAACAAAACTTGGGTTGATTGTCTAAAAGTTGAGAAAGAAGCGCTTTGTGTTGATGAAATTCAAGGGTTTCTGGAACCAGAGTATCGTTCGCGTAAGATGCTTAAAGAATGCAGTAGCCGAAAAACTCACTCCAAAATTCCTAAACATCTAATGGCTTGCAAAAATCCTAATGTGGAGTCGAGTTCTTGTCTCAGTAATTTGCAACTGCTTCATTGTAGAAGTGTACGAAAGCCACCGAAGTGTAAGAAAACTCGTTTAGCAAGCATGTGTAAGAAAGTTAACCCCCCTTGCCCGAGTTTCTCTGAATGTGAATTAATCAAAAAACTGAATTCCGATGGTCCAACAGAATGCAAGTGTTGGCAAATGACATCTTTGTGTGAAACAGTAAGAGAAATGAGGCAACGACCATGAACCATAATGAGGACCAAAAATTGACGGTAGTTAACTTATTTCTCATAACTATTGTTCGTTTTTCTGTGAAGAGAACAAATTCCATTCTGAATTTATTTCTTCAATTGCGAAACCAACGATAGTTATAAGACATGTTTGATTTCTACTGTGGATTGTATTTAATTTTGGTTTGAAGAGTAAAAAAGAAATTGTACACTTGAGGCACTTAAAGTGCAATTAATACAAAACTCAAGTAAATAAAGATTTAAATGTCAAAATTAAAAAAAAAAGGTTTAATTAATTTTCGTAAAATATATCTCATTTTTTGTTTGCCAATCTTTTAATTTTCTTATAGTCTCCATTTTTTTTGGCAACATCGTTTCGCGATAATCTTTTTCAAAAAATTCCTGTCTAGTTTTTACAGTGAAGAACACTGCTGTACTTGGCTGTCAAAAAGGCGAGGGCTATGTTTGCAAAAGTTCTGAAGCCATTTTACTTACTCAATGAAGTTCGTCAGCAATTGATTTGCAGCTCCAGATTCCAACCCTATTCTTGCATAAAAAAAAAGCCAAATACTTGTCCTAAAGTAAAACCTCCTTGTTTCAGAACTTTAAGACCGAAAAAGAAAAAAATTGTTGTCAAACTTTTTACCCAAATAGAGGAGGAAGCAGAACGGATTAGAATGCAAGCAATTGCATCACGCAAGCCATCCAAATCTGCATGGGGGCATACTCCCGATTGTTGTGTTGAGAAATGTACCATTCCTTTTCGTTCCGATCAAATTCACTATAGGCCAATCAATCCACATAAACGGAACTATAACAAAACCTGGATTGATTGTCGAAAGGTCGAAAAACAACCAGTGTGTCTTAAGGAAGAAGGTGAAGTAAGTTTTAGAGAACCACAAAGCAGAAAATTTCCCAGAAAAGGAGGTGTATGTAAGGATTGGTTTCCCAAGATTCCATCGCATCTACTCCCTTGCAAAAATAAGAATCCGGTTGCCTGTAGTACAAGTGTTAGAATGCCTAACTGCACTAGAAAGCATCGTAAGCCACCAAAATGTAAAAAAACACGTGTACCCTTAGTATGCGAAAAAATCGTTAGTCCATGGCCCAGTTTCTCTGAATGTGAGTTGATTGAATACCCGAAACCTGAACCTCCAAAAGAATGTAAATGCTTGCTGCATGTGTCTCTATGTGAGATATTACGACTAATGAAAGAACAAGAAAGTAAGAAACCAAAACCCGAAAACAAGAGATGTGCCACTTAGCAGCAGTATATCTGTTTCTGATTTTTGCTATCAGTTTCTCAGTAAAGAAAAAAGGTCAAATTTTTTTTTAAAAATTCTTTTTTTCTTTAAATGCGATACTAATGGCAATACTCAAAAATACATATTCACTTCGCAAGATAACTAAAAATTTGGTTTAAAAAAACCAACAAAATTTCTTAGTAGACTAGGAGTTTTTCAAAATTTCCAGAAACAAACTTCTTATATATTAAAAATTATTTTTTTTTAAACGTGTTTCAATTTTCTTCGGAGAAAATCAAAATTCAAAATTTTTCGTCCAGGACAAAAAAATTTTGAAAAGATTGGCAAACAAATTTGGTAAAACTTTTGGCATTTGAAATTAAGTACATGTTCAAACTAGCGAGTAAAGATATGCTTAGGTTACCGCTCTCACTAATTGCGAAGCGGTGCTTATCATGCAATGCGCTTCACAACAACACCAGTGTACTATCCGCTGTCAGCGGAACTTTGATACGGGACCAACTACACAAACCATCAATCTTTGCCACATCGAAGCGTTTCATGGCTGTTTGTGGCGGAGACTGCCCTGCTAAATCAGACTTGTGCAAGTTCTTTAAAAAGCAGAAGAAAGCCCCCAAGAAAAGCAAACCAAAGGTAGAGAAAGCTAAATTCAAGTCCATGTGGGAGAATCCCCCTTGTTGCATAAGGGTCTGTATACTACCGAAGAGGTTTGATGAACTTTATTACATGCCCAAGACTAAAGCTGAACGTAGATATACGCAAACATGGCGCGAATGTCCAAGGGAAATCAAGCCCTTTAAACGATGTGAAGTTGTATATCAATGCGAAGACATTATACTACGCGATCCTTTGTGTAAACCGATGACAGCAAAACCAAAAGATATGGAGAAATTTATGGCAAGTAGAAATTTCAAGTGTCCAAAAATGAAATTGACAGAATGTCGTCCTGCACGTAACCCCCCACGTTGTCAAAAGACGCGTTCCCCAACGGATTGTAAAAAAGTGAATTGCCCAGTAAAGAGCTTTTCGGAGTGTCTTAAACCACCATTTAAGAAGCTGCGCCCCGTTGAGTGTCAATGCTTGAGAGCATCGTCATGTGACGCACACAACTATTTCATACAAAAGAACAAGAAATAGGTTACACACTCGCTAGTGACTGGTTCCGCTGTATAGAAACTGTGTGTAAGTATTACAATAAGACCTGCATATCTTATGACTTTATGATAATAATAATAATTGCAATATAGATGAATGTAACTTGAAGATCACTTCTACGCTTTAGCATTCGCACATATAAATCAATGTTGCGGATGTTTTATGCTATTGAAGTTTACAATGGAATAACACCTAGGGTGATAGACCTGTACCTGGACGTAGTTTTATGATGTTATTCTTGTTATTCTTATCAGCGGACCAAAATTTCCAGACCAGAACATGAAAAATTTGCCCAAAAGTTCCCAAAAATAAAATTGCTTCAATATTTTAACTCATGTCTTTTATTTTGAGAAGTGATAATTTTTTTCTTGCAACAGACTATTGTTTGAATTAACTGTGATGCTTTTTAAAACTAGAAAATTCTAAAATATTTGAAAAATTAGGAAAATTTTATAGCATGTCCATATTTCTAGAAACATTATTCACATGCTTTACACGCTTAATAGATCTTGATAGCAGCTCTATTGTATTAATGAACTGTTAGAATAATGTTCGCAGACAAAATTCGCAAAGATACATGTTTGTATGCGAATATAAAAATCTTGCCAAGTTCTAGCCAGTGTATACCCCAATATTGTGTAAAAGCTGAGTATAGTAAAAATAAAAAGATCTCAAATTTGGTCCACAGCTTTAAGTGAGCGAGAACTAGATGTGCGCCATCTAACTGTTGTTGTAGCTAAGTTCGTGTATATTTGGTAAAGACTGATCTTTCTTTTTAGGGCGACCACGTTGTCTGCTTTAGGTGGGACCATGTTGGTGACATTATGTATGGGTTTTATGCTTAAATTGTATATGTGGTTTGTTAAAAATATTCAAGGGGTTTTTCAAATCAATCAAAATTCTAATTAATTCTAATCACAATTCTGAAGTACTTAAAATTCGGAACTTGAAAATGTTAATTTGATACCAAGGAAGTGTAATATTGTCTAATCAGTTTTGTTGTCTGATTTGGTACATTTGTTAGATATAAATCTTTTATTGTTCTGTACTCCTACAAGTTATAAATTTTATATTTTTATGAAATATAAGTAACGCATGGATTTTTGTTAATGAAAGGAGTTCAGTTGGCGTTCATTTTAAGGATTTTCACATAAATACACAACGTAAAATTCATAAAATTTATTCGTTACTTTTCATTTGTTTTTGGGAGCCATATCTTCTCATCCACAGCCAAGTTTTTATTAATCCTGTTCTATATTTTTATTTTCATCAATTTGCGCGCATTTTTAAATATGCAACAGCAGTGCATCCATTCTGGAAGGCAAAGGGTTGGCATCCATTTACCATTTTATCATTACAGAGACTTTTACTTTTATTTGGAATTGGAATGTCTATTTGTGTCGAAACGGATATATGCAAATATGTACCCATACATTGCTGCTGTTCCTGTTCCCATGTGCTCTGACTGTTTAAAAATTTAACAAAATTTTATGCACATTTTTTGTTTTTGTGAGTGAATGGGCCTTACAGGACTACACAGGATAAGCCTAAAAAACAAAAATGTAAACAAGCAATAAAGAATTATATTTAAATGCAACGTTATGTTTTTGGTGCCCTGACAAATAAAATGTGAACATTTTTATAATAAAGAAAATGGCGAATTTTTTTTTATGTTTTCGGGCTTAAAATTGCTCGAAAGGAGTGAAATTTGTCCTCTGTTTTACACCCACTGCCTTACAGAAAGCCTGCAACAAATGCGTGCATTAAGAGAGTTCTGAATTTTTTTGTTAATAATATTGTATATTTATTTTTTTTAAAAACGTCATCAGTCATATGCAGTTATTTCTGCGATCAAATGAAAAGCGTTGTTTACGACTTTCCCACAAATTGGTTTTGTTGACATTCTGATACTGTTTCAGTTGCTAAAACAGAATATTTGAGTGCTGTGAAATGTAAAGGAATTTAAAACCTTAAAAACATTTTCAAAACTATTTTCTTGGATTAATACTACAGAACATACATTGAAGACCCAGATGGGCTGCGAAAAATGCAATTTAGCTTGGCCAAGCTACAATCTAATGAGAGCGAGCATCCTTCGGCATCACCATCGGCAAGATCATCAATATCAAAAAATTGATCATTCCACTAAAGAGTTATTTCACTAAGGAAGCTTACAAACTAAGGAGTGTAGTCAATATCTCTCATGCGGGTTCTAAGATTCTTCTTCCTTAATCCCGCAGTTTGTGTTAAAAATGTATTGTATTCTTAGATCTTATCACCAAACGTGTGGTAGTTAAACGACGCTTATAGACTTAAGAGGTCGAACCTGTGCCTCTGACAGAACCACTTAAGTTGGATCTAATCACTTGAACTCTTAACTAAATACTCATTTGTAAAACACGTGCAGGGGACGTATGAACTATCTGACAGCTGCAATCCTTAATTTCTATCTGCCATACAAATAAGTGGTTCATATATTACTTTGTTCTGCAGTTTTTTATTTGTCAAAATGTCAAATTATTTTTGTAAAAAACTTTGTTATAAAAAATAAAGAATGGGTGGGAAGAACTCAAATTATTCAAGAAGATTTTTGCTG